TAATACAAAGTGGGAGGGGAAAAAAAGAGAAAATACAGAGAAGGGAGATAATGTTTCAAACCCTAGGGTGCTAGGAACAATTGCACTATGGGTACATGTTCCCAAATAATAGAAGTTAAAAATTAAAAACTTGACCCACCCAAATTTTCTGAAGGTATGTGATACTATCCGTTTATTAGCCCTATTGGTATTACCTATATTTCAAGTCAAAAGTAGGAAATCACCTATAGGCAGAATGGGCTATTCATAGGGTAACCCCGACCCCTAGTATTCCTGGGACAGCACAGTTGCACCTGAGGTCCCATAGTAATTATCAAGGGCACAGCCTTACACTCTCGGAAGTGACCCTGTTTAGCTAATGAACTCCACGGCCACACTCTAAGCAATGCTGATGTCTGAATCGATCTTAGTTGTGGCAAGTCAATGAATGAGACGGGAAGAGGGGATGTGGAGGGCACTGGTGTGCCCATCTCAGGTGCAGAGCCATGGGGCCTGGGCTCTGAGTCCAAGGTTAGCCTGGCCAGGGAGTGCTTAGCAGTGGGACACCCAACACCATGGAAGGCTGGGCAGATGGGAACTCTGCTAGGCTCAATGATCCTGGGTTCTTTCCATTCCTTTCTCTCTCTCTCTCTCTCTCTTTCTTTCTTCTCTTTTTTTTGTCTGTCACGGTCTTTTTTAACTCCATTCTGTTTTTCCTTCTATCCTAGAGTCATCAGCTGCCAGATGGTTATTCCCTAAGACATCTGCTCTGCTGCCCTGAGACCCGGGAGCATTCAGAATCTCTTCCCGATTGTTGGAAAGCATCCTTCCAGATCTGCTAGCTAGTCAATCAACCCATTTTTACAGAACAACTGTTCTGCACCAGACAGAGGGCTAAGTACTAGGATTAGAGTGGTAAAAAGCTCAACCAGAGCTGTGACCATTTATGGACTGGGATTTTTACATGGGTCACCATGCAGGACAGACACCGCATAAATACTATTTGGAATGCACTGACAAACTTCTGGGTTTTAGTCCCGCAGGTAACAAGTTTGAAAGTCACCATTCCAGCCCAGCCGCAACTAAAAAACTGAACGAAGCGAAAATCCAAGAGTTCTTCTTAGATCCATAGAGGAGTGAGGTCCCAGGACAGAGCCCTGCTCCCCAGACTGGAGTCTGTGACGCGCAAATAGAGAGAAGCACAACGCGCAGGCGCAGAAAGCCACAATCAGCCACCCCCGTGGGAACCAGCTCCCGCTTAGGAAAACCTGAACCGTAATTGGCGCTGAATTGACTTGCTGGAGGCTCAGTGTGGACAAGTCTGAGTTACAAACTCCAGGGAGGCCCGGTCAGAGAGAGGCCTGCACACTTTCCTGATTTTTACCTCCTGGAGCTCTCCCGGGTTCTCACAGCGAATGGCAAAGTCCCCTTGTGCTTCCAGCACAGAGAGGGGGGAAAAAAGATCCATTTTGAAATACGCCAGAGCACTCCGTTCTAGCAACAACGCCTGCCATCTGGAGAAACGGGTTTACCAGAGCCTACCTGCTGGGGCTTTAGCAGAACCTACCCAACTCCCACCCCCCAGCCTCTCCCATCTAAGAGGCAGCGGGGGTGGAGCGTGAGAAGTAACCTGTGAAGGTCACAGTCCAGACGCACAGGTTCACTACAGGGCAAGACCTACTCCTAGCCTCTAAGACTGCTTCCCCTCCCCACACTTCACCACCACATGACTAAAGGCCGACTTAGAGAGCAGTTCCTTCTACTTAGTACCTCAGTCCATCACGCAACACAGTACACATTCGCTGACAAATTTCTGAAGGTAACCATATAAAATTGTCTTGAAGTTTTCATCAGTCTGAACAACGCAGGTTGTAGCCAGGAACTCTGAAACATTTTCCTAATTAGTGGGGGATCATATGGGGTTGATTCATACATATTTGAAATGGACATTAATCTCATTCAAACATGTTTAATGAACAATCATTAAAATTTGATATAAGTAGACTTCACACATATATTTCATCTTTGACAAAGGAATTTTGTGGATAAAATGTAACACAATAGAGTAGCTTCTCTCTTTGGACCTAACAACATCTGACTGACAGATTTAAAAGATTCTATCAGCCTAATGTTTAGAAAAAAATTTTTTTTTTAGTTTTAGATTGTTGGTCTATTTCCCCTGTGTTCATAACACCCAAGTAATAAATCTCAGATTTTATGCAAGATAAGCTGCTTATGTTGATACTGTGGAAGTGAAATCTTAAATTTGAGGAAATGGCTATGAACACAGGCAAACTTCTACTTAATATATCTCAGACGCTTGGCTTCCCCAAACTTCAGCTAGCAAAAGGAAATGTGTATAGCTCTTGAAGTTATCTGACAAGAAACTGAATCGTATGTCATTATACTCCTGAGGTCTGCCCACTTTTTCACGAGCATCCAGCAATTATGAATGAGCTTGGATCTGGGCATTCAGATACAAGTGTGGCATTTGGATTTAGCCTTATTTGTAAACAGCATGATCCACAAAAACCCAAGTGAATAACAAAAGGAAGCAGACAGAGCTGTGTGAGGCTTTAATTAATGTGAAGCTAACCCAAGGATGTGCAAACTGTCAATTTCTTGCCGGCTGCATGGGAGGCAGTGGCTCATGTGTCAGCCCTGATTCAAGACCAGTTTGCAATCTCAATAAAGCAATAATCATGCAAGAGATTGGTAGATCTGAGAAGAGGCATCGCAAATGATCGCTCTCTTCTTAAGGATTACCCTCTGGGTGAAGAGTGAAGAAAACACGCTCATTTCCCCCAATTCCTTCTGTGCCAGATAAAATCATTAGACAAGATTAAAAACCCAGAGGGTGGGAATTGCTTCCCTACAAGAAAAGTCTTTCCATTTCTCTCCAAGCCACCGTGCTTCCTGCTGGTGTCCTGAGCAGACATCCGCCTCCCTGCCTCCTGAATAAGACAGTTCGATGCCTCTCTCCTTCTTTCGGGCTCAGAAATCTCTTCGGTTACATCCAGAAGCTGCCCTAGCTTGCTTTCAGCCCAGCAGACAGGGGTTCATAGAACAAGAATTAAACAGTTCTATTGTAAGTAAGCCCCTGGAAGCATAAGCAGTTTACTGGGGTGCTGGGGTGGGGAGGGTATAGGTTTTTTATCTTTCCTTAGAGTTGTCTCTGTTCAGCCTTAACGCCTCAATTTCACACGCAGCACATACACACACACACACCACACAGCAAATTAGAGTAAGGCTATCCGGAGTTTTGCTGTCCCCTCAACTGGTTGCTTATATGCATTATTTATGTCTGTGAAAGCATATCTTCTTGGGTTTTCTTCAGAGCATAAGGTAGGATTGCAATTCCTTGCCCTCCTAGCCAGGTGTGACCCTGTGATTTGCCACAGCCAGTTAAGAGAACAAGAGTGCCGTGCCTCCCTTCCAGAAAGGAGCTTTAAAAGCCAGCGTGCACAGTTCTTTAAAAAGAACTGCCATTCTTTTTTTTTTTTTTTTTTTTCTCTGCCACCCTGACCAGCCATGTTTTAGCTGGTGGTTCTTCTATCACACAGGGACAGGGCTCCTGGAGATAGGACAATGCAGAAGGGAAAAGAGACAAGTGCACAGACAGGAAATACACCTTGTTTTTCTAAACTAGTGAGATTTGGGGGTCCAACCTCCCATCTATCTATGGCTGATAGACAAACCTCAAAAATCCCATGGAATTCTAAGAAATTCTCATGTTTACACGGCCTATCTTGGAACAGACTCGCAAAGAACAACACTTTCTCTGTGTTCTCTCTTGCAACAGCATCGCTGGAAGTAGCCCGTCATGCCGGAGCCAGCACACACTCGCGCTGGTTCCTACACCAGCAGATGGCTTCGCAAAGGCTGCGCGAGGCTTCCGACATAAGATCTAGGCTGCGCACCTCTGCAAAGGAAACAGGTCACTTTAAAAGACCATGCCTTTTTTTTTTTTTTTTTTGAAACCAGTTCTTAGTCTTTACCCCTTTCCTTCCTGAACTTATTCAATCCTCATAAATTCAAACAAGATAAGCAGCCCATCGGACGTTAATAAAGACATAAGGCGGCCTATCCATTTTAGGAAATACACACTTAGTCATCCATTTCTCCACCTTACTATTCATCCTCCTCCACTTCCAGGAACGATTTCTGTTGAGAACAGCAGTTATTCATTCACCATCCGCCGGTCTTCCTTGGCTGAGCCATCTCTGGGCTCCTAAGAGGGAGACTTGAGACGCAAACCCACACAGGCAGTGGCGGGCTCGGAGCAGGTGCAGTGCTGCTTGGGGCCGCTCTGTCAGCACCATCAGCTGCGGGCTTAGGAGCTTCGCCTTCCGTCCGCTCACAGCTAACAAGGATAGCGTTTCCGAATGCAGCTTCCTGAAAACTTTAAATTTACGAGCCTATAGTTAAAAAAAAAATCCAATTGAGGATATCAGAACCTACCTTCTCCCAGGGGCTGAAAGAAAAGAAACTTAAGGGCAAAATAATACATGACATGGAAATACTTAAATATGGGATTTGCATGATAATGGGGGAATAGATTACATTTTTCACCATTCTACCTGCGAATGATTATGGAGCAGGATCATCGTTTGCACAGCAAAAGCAAATCATATATAGATTAAATCCGGAGGTTCAAAAGATTGATGGAAATCTTTTGCTCATTTCCAAAACAAAGGCAACAAAAGATACCAGCACCCGCCCTTAACAACTGGGGCACATTTCCGACATAAATACCTGAGTTTTTCCTCTTATGTCAGGGCCCTCTCTGCTGAGACGATTGGCAACAGATTTATGCCACCCTGTTCTGAAGACATTTCTGTTCAGGAAAAGTCACACCTCCCTTCTGGTTAGGTACCCCTTCTTTATGCTTCTTTATGCTTTATAGTAAGTAAATACTCACAACATGCATCCGTCTCTTGTATGCTGCTCACACGTCCTGGGGCCCGTCTGACACCCTTATCGGGCTGCACATTCCTTAAGGGAAGGGCCACATGGGATTTCATTGTTGTGTCCTTGGCAGCGAGCATCATGCCTGACACAGAACGGATACCCGATGAATACTGAATGTTTAGGGCCTTTTAATGATACGCCTTTTGAGCATCCCAGGCTCTCCTGCTTACCAGGACAGGAGTCTGGGGAGGCCCAGAGTCCCCTCATGGAGCTCTTCTCCCCAAAAAGAACATGTCAGGAATGGGGAAGAAACCTGCCCCTTGGCTCAGGCTTCTCACCACCATTTAGGGAAAAGTCAGGAGAACAGTCTACTAATCATCTTAAAGGCCTATAGTAATCACAGTGAGGAGAGCCATTTCTTTATCTTAAAGCTTGACCTCTGTGGGGAGAAAAAGAAAAAAAAAAAAGAAAAGGAAAGGAAAGGAAAGAAATACATACATATATATATGAACATTAAATTTTGCATTTGACAGATTAACACCACAAATACACATACACATCACTTATCAAAGGCTTCCCATCAACTCCTTATTATAAGTGATAAGGCCCTCATAATCCGAGCTTTAGGGCCCACTCTCTGTCCCCTCTCCCCTCGACCCCTCTTCCCACCCCCATTTGTTCATTCTACTCCAGCTCCTTCCATCCTGGCTTCCCAGACTATTTCCTCCTCTGGGCTCACACTGAGCACACTCCCAGCCCGAGGCCTTGAAAACATGGTGTTTCCTCTGCCTAGCACATGCTTCTACTTGAGTTTCGCATAGTTCACTCCTTCCCCACATTCTTGTTGCTTCTTCAGAGAGGTCTGTTCCGAATCACCCGATCTCTCTCACTCTTTCACTCTTGATCCCCGTCCTGGTCTGCTTTCACTCACCAATACTCATGACTCCAGATGCGGGGGGTTCCATCATATTAGTCAATCCTCCAATTCTCTGTTCACCCACCAGGTGTCCTATGTACAACTCAATTCAGTTCGGACACTCACAACCCAGAGTTAACAGCAGACTCTGCAGGTTGACAGGCTTAGTTCCACAGAATGCCCCCCCCACTTCAGGTGTCACGTGCAAGTCTTGTGTTCCCAGGTTTCCCACCACTGCCCGACCTGCTGACAATTCTGGGGATTCCTACAACCCCCTTCTCTCAGGTTTGATAATTTGCTAGAATGGCTTACAGAACTCAGGAAGGCAGTTTACTTACTATCACCTGTTGATTATCAAGGATACAACTCAAGAATGGCCAGATGGAAGATAAGCATAGGGCAACTCACTGGGGGAGTGGTAGAGAGTTTCCATGCCTTTTCCAGGTGCATCACCCTCCCACGACCTCCGTGTGTTCACCAGGCTGCAGGGAGTTTTATGGGGGTGGGGGAGGGGTTATTATGTAGGCATGATTGATTAAATCATTGGCCATGATTAACTCAATCACCAACCTTCTCCCCTCCCCAGTTAGGGGCTGGAGCTGAAAGTTCCAACTGTCTAATCACTCCTTGGTCTTTGGGTATCAGTCCCCATCCTAAAGCTTTCTAGGGCTTCTCAGCCACTAGCCATCTCATGAGCATACAAGAGGTTCTCCTACTCGGAAGAACCCAAAGATTTTAGAAGCTACACCAGCAACCAGGGATACTATTTTCTCTCTGACACTTAATCACTTAATGCAATAACATCTTTTTTTTTTTTAACCTATTTCCCTGTTATTTTTCAGTCTTCCCCTTCTAGAATGAAAGCTCATCAAGGGCCAGGATTCGGGCATACTCACCCTCACTGGGTGAGGAGCGTGTGAACAAGTGAGGGAGTGAATAAACCCGAGACCCCCAGAATAAACAATTGCTCAGAGCCACAAGACCCGGATATTTTGACTCTTTCTTCCAGGCTCTGCCTCTAATAGGAAGGCTGGCAAACTGGAGCACCGAGTTACTACCTCTTTAGTCCAAGGAAACTGAACGTCCTTTCCAAGCACTGTATTCATTTCCAAGGCCTGAACATAACAAAGCACCACAATCTCGTGGTTTCACACAACAGATTATTCTCCCACAGTTCTGGAGCCTGAAAGTCCAAAATCAAGTTGTCAATGGGACCATGCTCCCTCAGAAGGCCCTGAGGAAGAAGGCTTTCCCAACTTTTCTAGCTTTGGGTGGTGCTAGCATCCTTGATATCCTTTGGCTGGATTTTGCATCACCACCCCATTTTCTGTCTCCATCTTCATGCGGACTTCTCCTCTGTGTATGCCTGTGTGTCTTCTCTTCTTCTTGTAAGGACAGTGGTCATTAGATTAGGACCCATGTCATAAAACAATATAGACAGTCTGACCTCATCTTAACCTGACCACATTTGTAAATCTATCTATTTCCAATAAGGTCACATTCACAGATGCTGGTTTTAGGACTTCAAATCTCTATTTGAGGAAGACAGTTCAACCCAAAAGTGTTGATTAGATTATTCACATAGAGCATGTGGGCACCACTTTAGGAATTAACTATTCCTGGGCACCTGGATGGCTCGGTTGGTTAAGCATCCGACTCTCCCACTTAGGTTATGATTTCAGGGTCATGAGATCAGGCCCCACGTCTAGCTCCACGTTCAGCATGGAGTCTGCTGGCGATTGTCTCCTTCTCCCTCTGCTCTTCCCCGTGCTCTCTTGTTTACTCTCTCTCAAATAAAATAAATAAATAAAACCTTTTTAAAAAAATAGAATTAGCTAGTCCTTCTGGGCTGACCACAAAGTGTCTCCCAGGGCCACAGGCAAAGGAGCTTCTGTATCATATCTTTTTATCAAGAAGCTCATCAACCTCATACACATGGTGTCTTGGAAGGAACTGCAGTAGAGACAATCTGTGAAATCTTTAGTAAGTATCAGGGAAGAGGATAAACAGAATACAATAGAAGTATTGGGTAATGAAAACTGTAAACATTAGTAAGGAAATGAGTGTTTTTAAGAAGGTTAGGATTTTAGAAAAATGATGGGTCCAAATTTTTAGCAGAAGAACAAGCAAGTTGAGTCTTAGCAGTAAAAATCTACTTACCAAGTGCACACATATCTGGAGCAGAAATGTGAGAAATGACCCCAGAAGCTCAGACAGCAAGTGGTTATTCTCTGCACAATAAATAAACAAACAAACAAACAAAACCCCCAGACTAAACTAAAACATGCATCCCAGTAATGCCAAAACCGCCAGATGATAGTGTAAAAATTCAGGGAACAGATATTTGTTCTATATGATACCAAATGTCCAACTATCATGTGTTTATTGTCGCTGTTTTTCTGTGGAAATAATAGCTTGACCTGGTGTCACGCAGAGTGCATGAGAAATTAGAGATGTAGCCCTGCCTTCTGGATGTCCTACAGGATGACCGAGATTGTCTTCAGAGCTAGCAGACTTCGAGGTTCTACCTTGACCCTGCTGAGGATGGCAGAAGGCTCTCTATTTCCCTTCCCTGTGCCCTGACTGCCATGGAAGGGTCATATGACCAACACCACGAAGACTGCTCAGTTATCAAGGGAGCTGTGGAACTGCTGGAAAATCAAATTCAGCAGAGGTTGTAAAGTCCGCGATTATTAAATGTGAATGTGTTCCACTCCTAAGCAAACTGGCAGCTTGATTTGAGGCTCGTGAGAAGTTACTGAGAGGGGGCACGCCATCTCTCTCTGAGATTCCTGTAACTGAAAGACCTTAGGAAGAGAAATGCATTTCATTTGGCTCAAACGTTCATTCTCCAAAAATAAAGTGTGCTTCCACAGACGGTAATGGGTGCCTAATTTTTTTTTTTTAAATATACAAGCAGCAAGTGTTTAGGATACTCTCAAATGAATTCCTGTAAAATTGTGGGAGACAATCTCTCATGCTCCTTCTAACTCTAAAAACTGTGTAACGTTGACAATGTATTTCAGTCCCAGAAGATTTCAGATACACAGATATTTCAAGTTCATTGAAAGAAAGATCAGAAAAGAATAACGTTATAAATGAGACGGAGGGAGTTTAATCACAGATACGGCCCACAAAACGAGCAGCTGATTCTCCGAAGCAAGGGTCTGGCGCAAGAGGGAGGGGGTGTCTTCGCCTTCAGAGGCCGACCTGTCCAAGCAGATCAATTTCAGAGGGCCGTCATTGGATGGTGTGTCAGAGAAAGCGAGGCATTTCTCTCCATCTAAAAGAGCCATGAGAAGCTGTCTTTCTTCAAGGTTTATATATTAGAGCCCTGGTTCTAAAATTGAGGAAGAGGGTGTCAGAATGGGGTGAAGAGAGCAAACTAGATTTAACTCAATAGGCTTTTCAAACGACACACATGTGCCCATCCCGTGGAAGAGAAAGATGAGGGGCAGATGGTGGAGAGGGTTAATGGGGCAGGAGCGTGTTTGAAAACGTTCCTCGGGCGACTCTAATTATCTTCCCTGTTTCAGAATCATACCATATGAACTAGAGTAAAGATAATTCTCATTCTTTCCCATCTACTATTGTTAATGATTTTTCCTCTAAATTTGGCTTCACTTTTCGTATGGCCTAACTTTCCTTCTGTGTGGTAGGCTGTTACGGAAATCACAGTAACAATTTACTCAGTAAAACTCTTAGCCAAGTAAAAAGGTCCCCCACACCCACCCCCGCCTCAATTTCAAAAACTCTGCTAAATTTGTGGTGATAACAATCTTTCACATCTTGAGAGTTTGGAGAAGAAATTCAAAAATATGTGATTGCCAAAAAACATGGTAAATTCCCTTTTGTGTTGCTGCACAAGTATGAATTTATCCCAACCAGACCTCCCATGTTTAGGGACTTTCCTCAAACCCCTTGACTTTTTAAGATTATGAAATGTGCTCTGGGTACAACTCCCCTAAGTATCCACAACCTCCCACTCCGTGAAAGAGACAGAACATCTGCTCCTCAGCTCTCTGGGAAAGTATATTTAATTATTAGATGCTTTTCTTTTCAAAATGGTGCTGGCTTTCTTTCTTACTTACTTTCTTCCTTTCTTTCTCTTTCTTTCTTTCTTTTTTTTTTTCCTTCAGGGCAAAAACAAAATAAGATCAGCCCTTTGATGCTTAAATCAGATAATAGCATCTGTATCAACACAAATAACAGCTAATAGCATAAAAGTGTGTCTTCTAGACTTGATGTGAACCAGGAGTGGGCATCAAGCATGGGTTTTCTCAGTATCCATGTAATGACTCTACCTTAGGAGATTTCTAGAAGCAAGGGATACTGAAAATGGGACAGCAAAGGAAGATTAGGAAATCTTGCAGACTTGATTACGGAAGCTTGAAGAATCTTATCCACAATGATCAGTTTTTGTTTCTCAATCCTAGCAGAATCTATCAGAAGTGTGTGTGTGTGAGAGAGAGAGAGAGAGAGAGAAGGAGAGAGAAAGATTGAGAGAGGAGACATGATATTGAGGGAGACAGGGAAGAAAACTAAGCATGTGAGTTCTCTTCCTGAAAAAACTTAATGACTTCCACATCATGGTACAAAAGACTGCTAAAATGAGAAGCAGAAATTTCACTGGAGCAAATCTTAACCAAAAAAAAAAAAAAAAAAAAAAGCAAGTGTGGGTCTGGCATCATTCACACTTAAACAACCAAAGAGCAATATTACCAGATTTTTGTAAGAATTTCTTTTTTTCTTTTTCTTTCTTTTTTTTTTTTTTTTTTGCAGATTTGTAATTTTCCTAGTGTCTTATTTGTTTTAAATCTTCTTTCTGGAAAAACAAACAAAAACGAGCCAAGAAGAAGTTTGCTTTTGTTTTAGCAAGAGCAGGCGAGGACAAAGGTTTCAACTGAGTTCAATCAAATGAGTATCTTGTGAACCACTTCAAAGCCAGACAGAGTTCCTGCGCTCCCGAAGTGGACGTTTCCTGGGGAGACGCACAATTGAAGACACTGCAGTGCAGTGCAGTGGACGCGGGAACGACTCAGACGGAGTCGGAGGGGCAGGTCGGGGATGCTGCCCTGAGAATGGAGGCCCACGCCGGGCTCCCAAACTCCGCCGCTCTGCAGAATTTCCAGGGGAGTCTCCAAAAAGGTCAATTCCAAGGTCTCTCCCTGGACCTGGGGAACTGGAATCTCTAAGAGAGGACTGTATGTTCCCAAATTTCTCCGGGGGAGAGCGCAGCGAGCAACGGCCTGCCCGGGGCTGGCAGGAGGAGGGCGACCCAGCCCAGAGCGCAGAGGACCTGAGAGAGGCCGGGGCTTGGAGGTGCCCCAGCCTGGGCTGGGGAGCCGGGGACTGGGACTTAGGGAGGGAGATGAGGGAAGCAGCCAACCAGGAGGAGAGCTGTGCGTTCAGCTGCGGGGCGGGGGGGGGGGGG